CACATCAAATGCTTTTGGATTATGAAAGGAGATTAAAGGCTAGAAAATTTGATCCTAGAATTTTACGTGACATGCTTGTTGAAGCCATAATTAAGCATGACTTGCCTTATACTTTTGTTAAATATGATAAGATTAAAGCTTGGGCTAAGTATGTAAATCCAGATGTAGTCATGCATTCTAGAAACACTGTTGTATCTGATGTTCAAAGAATTCATTTGAGAGAGAAAGAAAAACTTAAACAAACCATGGCCAAGGTACCTAATAAAATTTGTTTAACTTCTAATGTATGGACAACATCTACTTCTAAGAGCTATATTTGTTTGACTGCTCACTTTGTCAATGAAAATTAAAAGTTATGTAGCAAGTTACTCAACTTTGGTCGCATGCTTCCTCCACACAGTAGAGTTGAATTAGCTTCCATTGTATTTGATTGTTTGAAAGAATGGGGAATAGATAAAAAAGTTTTCTCTCTTACTCTAGATAATGTTTCTGCTAATGATAACATGCAAGCTATTTTGAAAGGCCATCTTCATTTGCAAAATAGCTTGATTTGTGATGGTGAATTTTTTCATATGCGTTGTTGTGCTCATATATTCAATCTTATTGTTCAAGAGGGCTTGAAAGTAGTGAATGAAGCATTGTTTAAAATTAGGGAGAGTGTGAAATATGTAGAGGCATCAGATGGGAGATGAAAAAGCTTTAAGAATGTGTTCAACATGTTGGTATTGATGTACGTGTTGGGTTGCATTTAGATGTGCCAATTAGATAGAATTCAACATATTTGATGCTTGAAAGTGCAACCAAATATCAAAAAGCTTTTGCTAACCTCCAATTTGTTAATAGAACTTATAAATATAATTTATCTGATAAGGAATGAGAAAGAGCAATGATAATTTGTCAATTCTTGGAACCCTTTTATGAGACTACAAACTTGATATCTGATTCATCTTAACCAACTTCCAACTTGTATTTCATGCAAGTTTGGAAAATTGAATCGATTTAACTGAGAATTTGCATAATGAAGATGAGGTTATCAAGGATATGTCTCAAAGGATGAAAATGAAATTTGACAAGTATTGAAAAGATTACAATGTAGTGCTTGCATTTGGAGCTATTCTTGACCGAAGGATGAAGCTTGATTTCTTAAAATTTTGCTATTCTAAGATTGATGCTTCTACTTGTCATGAAAAGTTAGAAAATATGAAGACAAAGTTGTACGAGGTCTTTGAACAATATGTAAGCAACACTTCTGCATCAAGTACATCTTCTCACTCAATGAGTAATTTGCCTAAGCAAGTCGGAGGGGGAACTAAACCTAAGGGATCAAAGATTTTTAGTATAAGTTTTGTATCTTTCCTTAATCTTATTATATGAGAATTTATGTTAGTTTATTTATGTTTTGATAATTATTTTTTTTTACCTATGTATTTAAAAATTGTAAGAGTTCAAAATGTTTCAAAATGAAACAATTTCTATTGCTGGAAAGTCTGAGTTTGATGTTTATTTAAATGAGGCAAAACTTGATTATGAAGTGTTTGAAGACTTTGATATGTTTAATTATTGGAAGGACAATGCTAAGTGCTTTCCTGATCTTTCTGTTATGGTATGAGATGTATTGAGCATTCCGATTACTACGGTAGCATCAGAGTTTGCTTTTAGTATCGGTGGTCCTGTTCTCACCAAGTTTAGAAGTTCCCTTCGCCATGAAAATGTTTAAATGCTTGTCTGCACAAAAATTGATTGCATGGCTTTTCTTTAGCTACTAATGGTATTGTTCATTTTATATATTTCAATATCTTTAATCTTTACTTATTAAATTAATAATTTTAGTTAAAATTCAAACTCA